TGTGTTCTGATAATGCCGACTGCGTGACATGTTTTAACCTGATATCACGTTGGTGTTCTTTTATCCGTAGGTTGACCATTCCCTGGTTTCTCCAATGTACTTGTCCGCGGGAACAAGGTATTTTGTATACTCCTACGGAGCTGAGTGAAGGTCTTTGATCTTTAGGATTTCTAAGATTTGTCCTATCTTTTTGAGTGATTTGAAGATAGTTTGGATATTGTGTTTGTTTAATATCCTGCCAATCCGTTGTTCCTTTGACTTATAGAAGAATGAATGGGATCTTTTCGTCTGATTCTGTGTTAAAGACTGTGGTCTTATTTGCGTGCTTATTGATTATTTTGATTATGTCTTTTTTGTCGTTTTTCTGTAAGGCTTGTTTAAGTGGTTGAGTTCTGTCTGCAAATGTTCTTTGTCGGAGATAGTGAAAACTCTATGTACGAGTGAGTTAATTACTGACTGTTTTTGTGCTGAGTGATGGTGCAACTTGGCATATAAATATCTATGGTATCTGTGTGTGTTGGTTTTCTGTACACTTAATGGCCTAGGGTACCGTCAGCTTTCTTAATGATAAGAACATCTAGGAAGGGGAGTTTTCCATTTTCCTCTATGTTTATAGTGAAGTGGATATTAGATGTTGAGGAAAATAAAGAATTTATGGAGCGGTGGCGTGTCTCCATATGTCATATTATGAATGTGTCGTTTACATAGCATAACCGAATTTCTGGTTTTTTGGATGTTTTTCTGAGAGCCTCTTTTTCAAAATGCTGCATGAAGATGTTGGCGATTACAGGAGAGCCCATTGCCTCTCCTGAAGTTTGTTCGTAAAATTGTTATAGGAGAAATAAGTGGTTGTTAAGTAGTGATCTATTAGCGGGATGAGACTTCGGAGGGGACTTCATGTGAGGCTTTTATTATGTTTAATGTGTCTTTTACTGGGACTTGTGTGAAAAGGGATTTTACGTCGAAACTTACAATCATGTCTGTAGGACAAGTATGTCCTATGGTATACATTGGAGAAACCAGGAGAATAATCAACCTACCCTGGTGGAAAAAAATTGCTAAAATTATTTCACGTTTTGGAACACTTTTCAACAAAATGTCAGCATTTCAACAAAATTTCAATTTATAGTAATTTCAGCGATTTTTAGTTAAAAAATTTATTTTCGATAAAGTTTTAAAAAAATTTTAGCAAAATTTTTAGGTAAATTTCAGTAAGAATTTCAGAGAAATTTTAGTCGGATTTTAATGATTTTTCAATATTTTTGATGAAAAATTTCACTTTCAGTGAAATTACATTACATCACACTTTTTAAGAAAGTATAGAGAGGCTATAGAGATACATCTTAACAATCTAAATAAAGACAATGGCTATAACATAAATAAAATATGGAAGATCATTCTCCCAGTTATTGAAGACTGACCGATTTTCCCCATCTCCCCCTCCCCCACTCACATCCCAATTCTCTTCTTCCTCTCGCCGCCCCACCACTTTAACAAGCAGCGTTATATAAAAGGAACGATCCGAAGGCCGGAGAAATAGTTCAGTATCAGGCTGCTCCTCGCTCTGATAAAGTAAACTGCAAAGTTCACGAAACATTGGCATTCTAAGAATGGATATAAACGAAGAAAACCTGCGAAACGCATAGTCTTCATCCGTTGAAAAAGCATCCGTTGAAGTCTCAAGAATATTATCATTAAAATTATTTCTACAAAATATTTATAAGTTGACTAAATTATTATTGATAGTAAACGAACATAATTGTATCGTTAATCAAAATAATTTTATAAGCACGATGAAAATAATCTGCAGTAGAATAGATTGATTTTAACATTTGACTGGACTGTTCTACAAAGTAATGAAAATTCAATAAATTATTGATAATAATAGTTTTAAAGTAATCTCTATTTTGTTTCCAAGTAAAGTAGACTTTATAATTTATCTAATAGGATAATTCATTGAATTTATCATTAAATATTTGATTCCGTTACTTTATAAAATGATTTAATTAATAATAAAACCTTCTATTATAATATATAGATCAATTGATTAGTAGCTGCCTTGAAAAAAAATATTTATCGCCATAATATGACAAGAAGTGTATGAAAAAACCATTTGATCATCCTCGCTTTATACGAATAGATAGACGTCGAATCTTTCTTACACGCGTCATTTATTGATAGTTCTACAAAACGCTCTCTCGCTTTAAATCAAAGTAAAGCACCGTTAATAATTTATTGAGTTCTTATTACTTTTAAGTCCTGTTACTTTTATGTTACATTTATGTTCATTCACTACACAGTAAAAAACATTTTGTATTTGTGTTAGAAGCAGTCCACTCAAATTCTGGTTAAATTTTAAATTTTGTCTCGAATTTTTAATATATCCGAGTTTTAATTTAACATAATTTATGATTATGTTATTTGAATATTTTGTGTTAAATTGAATTTTAATACAAATTAAGATTTAACATTTTTCAATGTTAAAATAACACAATGAGTAAGTAAACAAATAACATAAAAATAATGTAGTTTTAAACATAAATTCTAAGAATAAGCAAATAAAATGTGTATATTGATTTAATATATTATAAATGTTAATTTTATTGAAGAAATATGTTCTGTACAATTAGTTACATATTTTATATGTAAAAAAATATTTTGCATTATTTTCTCTTTGTAACAATAAGTATCTGTTAAATCTATATATTGGATATGTTATCGCAAAGGCATTGTCTAAACTACAAATGTAAAAATAGCATCTAATTTCAATTAAATTTAACATCATAAATGTATCAATTTAACATAAAATTTGTTTTTAAATTGTGTCGAAGTATTACTTGCTTCTTGTGTTAATTTTTTACATAATATTTGTGTTACTTTGTAACATATTCATTTTATGTTAAATTAATACAAAAATTTGAGTAGACCATTTGAGATATGTGAAATGTGTTAAATTTAATACAAACTTTTTTTACTGTGTACCAGTAATGATTTAGTCAACTTTGTAAATATACTTATGACTGTATCGCCTCATCATTGAATTACGTAAATAATTAGTTCAATATACTTTTCTCCATGAGAGAGAGATTGGTTTGATCTCCATGTAGATGCAGATTTATTATTATTATACAGTTAAATCATTTTTGTAGTAGTTGAATGAATATTTAATATTAATACACTTAATCATATTTCAAATCGGTCAATTATATACTTTGATTAAACTTTTGAGTACATTTTACTATGTGAAGTTATTCATCTAATTAGTGAAATTATTCGTCTAATTAGATTTTTATTCTTCTTGTGTGTGTGTGTGTGTGTGTGTGTGTGTGTGTGACTTAATTATACTTTACTTAACTTAAATTGCCCACCCTCATATTTAGTTCTTTTTTCTCCGAATATTTTTTACAGTGTAAAACTTACTTTTTGAAGTCTTCATCTTTGTGACTCTTTTTTGCAATTTACAAAATTACTAATCTGCATGATACAAATGGGAAATAAATACATTACTTATAAAAGCTATGTTCCAAAATGGCTACCAGTACTGAAAATCTATATTGCACATAATATAAACTGTATAGCATTATCAGCGTTGACAGTAAATTTGGGACACAGCCAAAATAACAACTGCCACACTCACCGTTTCGACTGTCCAAACCGATGGGATGCATGCACGTGATGCCACAATCGTGGGAGCAACACTTTGCCAAATCCGGACAGCGGGAGTCATCGATGCAGGCGATCAAACAAGCAGCTTCGAAGGGCGTCATCGACATTCTCTCAGGACAATAACCAGGTTTCGTATAATTTGACGCCAAACAATTTTCCACACACTATGATGACAGCATGATGACAAATATGATGAGAAAGGATTTATTTAAATATATTCATTCCTAATTTTTTCTGTACATCTGACATTCTTTTCCTAATATGTTATCACTAAGAAATATACCAGTGCATATATAATATATATATATATGTGTTTATGAAATTTTTATAATTTATGAATATTATTATTACATATGCACTGGGGTATATTTCTTAGTGTCTATATAT